CGGGGTAGGGGTTGGGGGCAAGAGCAAGCAAGCATTAGAGAAGCAGAGCAAGCACGCAAGAGCAAGCAAGCAAGACCATAGGAATTAGGGGGCATAGGAATTTGGGGGGCAACGGACCAATTAGTAGGGTTTGAGTTAGACCTCCTATAGGGCAAGCCTATTTGGACAACATACAAGTGCGTCGAACCCTCGGGTTCGGATCTACGGCCTTGGTTTTCAGCAACATCGATTTGTACTGTTTCCGAGACTCCGTTTTTCCAACATCGTGCACGCAGCGACATATCGCTTGAGAGTTGAAACGATAGTACACGGCGAAGCGCACCCAAGCCAAATCCTTGGCCTGAATTGCCAATGCACCCATTTTCAGGCCCTCGTGACTTCCGCGCCAAAGCGACTGCGCATATGAGCAAACATTGAGTGCCCTTGCCACGTGTGGAAGCTGTCGTTGGGCCTCCGCGAGTTATCTGGGTCTCCGGTATGGGCCGCAGGGTAACATTGCCTGTGATTGTTTGCCCCGCCTTCTTTCTTTCTTACATATTTGTTTATTCTTCCGCCCCTCATGCCGTTCCTTCTCGCCCTTCCCATCTTTCTGTCGGGGCAGGTAACACCACCGCGCGTCTTATTTCTCATCCGCCGCACGCTTCAACAAAGCTCGGGAGGGGAGACAGGGAAGGGGAAGGAAACATCCCTTTCTATTGTTATGGACTCTTCCTCGGACGCAAAATCCGTGCCTTCACGCTGGCGCGAATTATCGGAAACACCGTTGTTCGCTACATGTTCCGATGACCCCGACGCCAATTACAAATCCAGTCAATGTGAAGCCGAACTTGAAGGAAGTATGCCGAAGTTTCTTTGAGTCGAAGTCGACGAAGCATTGCTAAACCGACCTTCAGCGAACTGGCGCCAGTTTTCAGCAAGACTCTGAACATATTCAGTCGGACCTTCAATCGAGCGGGAAGCGAATTGAAATCGGCATTAAGCAAGAGTAGAGCCAATATACAAGCCAACGAATGCCACACGTCAGCCGCCTCTCAGGGAATTAAGCGTGCGAGCCTACGCCGAGTTTGAGGCGATGATGACCAAACCAAAGCCTAGCCTTTATGGGAGGCACGACTTGGCCGACGATACGAGTTGTAAGCCAACGTGACACGATCTTACGAGGAGTTTCGGACGAATCCTTGGCAATTGTAAAGGATAATTGAAGCCCAAATGGATCCAAGCGAGGCTGAGACGGTCGATTTCCGAATCCACAGTGCTCAGCGTGTCACCATCAGCCCATCCAGCAATGATTTCCAGGCACGTTGTCTTGATCAGAGAAGTGGAGGAGCATACAGTGGGACAAAGAATTGTGGATGCCGCAAAGCCGAAGTTTGGGATCAGCTGGAGTAGGCCCAGGAGTGACATGCATGTGCCTTCGCGGACTTTTCGAACGAGGAAAGGTGGATGAGAAGGATGGCAAGGTTGGGGGAGAACGAAGATGAGGAGGAAGGATGATGGAAGAGTGGGAAGAGTAGGAGGAGAAAAAGAAGGAGGAGGGCGAGCAGAAGGAGGATGAGTTTGATTGCGCAAGTTCTCACTCAATTTCAAGGTGCCCTATTTAGGATGAGAGGGAGGAGGAAGAGGAGGAGGGTGGAGGATGAGAAAGAGAACGAAGAGGAGGTGGAAGAGAAGGAGGGTGGAAGAAGACGAGGGAGAGGGGGGAGGAGGATGAGAAGGATGTGGGAGAAGGCGATGGCGACGATCACGACGACGGCAACGACGACGACGACGACGACGACGACGACGACGACGATTCGGGGAGCCTTTCGGAGGTCTCTTTGAACCTTATTAGGGCCCTCTTAGAGTCAGTGTAGAAGCTCCCAGATCCTTCATGGAGGGCCTCTTGGGGTTCTCTTGGGAGCCATGGAGACTTTTCGTGGGTCAGATCAAGAAAGAGGGGCCCCATCCTCTTGTCCCCCGTCTGGGGCTTCCAGACTCGCCCCTTGGGTTCTCTTGGGGCAGTTTTAGGATGTGTTAATCATTTTGGGAGTCTTTTGGGGTCCTCTTGGGGGCCCCGTGGGGGCCACCTTGGAGGACATCGATCAAAGAAGGGCTTAATTAGAGCTGCTCCTCCTGAGCCCCAAAAAGTCGTCGTCTTGGGCGCTCGTGGGACCGACTTGGGTCCGTTTGGGGGCTCTTTGGGGGGCCTTTTTTGGTGGGCTTTCTCTTGTCTTTTTGGACCCATCCTGGGGCCATGCAAACCAACGGAAAAGACAAGGCGAGACGGAAAAAACATATGTTCCTCTGAGTGTGCTAAACATGTTGGCCTCTTGGGTGCTTCCTTGGGAGGTTCCGTGGTCACTTGGGCCTGTCTTGATGGGGTCGTGGGGCCTCGTTGGGCATGTTGGAAGCCGTCTTGAGCCAGATTCGACATCCTGGAGGCCATCTTGGGCTACCTGAAGCCCCCTGTGGAGCCGTCTTGGCCGCTCCAATGGGTCGCGCCCCCCCCCCCCCTCAAGCCCCAGGGAGAGGACGGAGGGGGAGGGGCTTACCCCTCCCCGCAGGGGAAGAATGCGGTTGGAAGACGAAACGCCTCAAACCACCTCCGCCCACAGGGTTGGTGAGATTCGAGCCATCAGTTTCAGGCAAAGTGGGCTCTATTGTATTCCACTCCGGTTAAACGTGACGAATCGGCCTTAAACATAAGGAAGAAGGGCTTAGAATTCGACTGCTTCAGGTGCTTGACAATGATATAAGGGTCGACAAAGTTGTCTGGGTTAAGACATGTGTTCTGGGGCACACCGCGTGAAACATCTTCAGCAAAAGTTCGAAAGGGTGGGCCGGCTGACTGGTTGGTTGGTTGGCTGCCGGGTCAAAAACAAAATGGTCAGAGTGGTTGATTGATTGGTTGGTTGGTTGGCCAGATCGTTGGTTGGTCGGTTGGTTCGGTGGTTGGTTTGTTCGTCGGTTGGTCGTTTGGTTCGTTGTTTGGTTGATGATTCGGTTTGCTGGTCGGTCGGTTGGTCGGGCACTAAACTTAGCCCTCCGCCTAAGCCTTAACCCTAGCACTGCACATGTACTCCCATCCCTAACAGCCAAACCGTACCTGTGAGCACACACCCTAGGCAGAAAGCCTACCACACGAAACCCTTACGCACCGACCCTAAACCCTCAACCCTAACCGTAAGCATCCAACCTAAGGCGAACACCCAACGATCATCCTCAATAACCTGGCTCGCAACGCTAACCCAAAGCATAAACTGCAACCCTGAGCTCGAAGTAGTTGTACTATACTGTGTCCGCCACGTAGTAACGCAAGGGAGCAAAACGAATACAAATCTACGCCGCACGTCACGCGGCAACACAGGAGCGGAAAACAGATTGCAGAGCGCACAATACTTCATTGCGCCCGCCGCGCGGCAACGGTAACGAAAGGGGGCCAAACAACTACCATTGTACTTGTTTCGTCACGGGGCAAACGCGGGTGGGGGGGAATTAATACCCCATTGTAGTCGTCCCGTGGCAGCCTAGAGGTGAGAAACAAATACATATGTACGCTGCACGTCACGTGGCAACGCAGAGGGGCTGAAAAAATATTATCCTGCTTGGTTCGTCACATGGCAACGAAGGGGGGCGGAAACATGTGGTTCCATTCTGGCACGCAACATCCGTCACTTGGCAACGCGAGGGGCGGGGGGGGCAATCACACGCAATGGTAATTCATTCGGCACGTACTAACCCAGGAGGGCGAAAACGAAGAATCCCATTTCCTCGTCGCGCGGCGACGCAAAGGGGGTGAGAAAATACTTGGGGAATGCCGTAGGCGTGGAAGTTACAATCTGCAAAAAGGACAGGACGGGTGGGTGGGGTTGCGGAATTGCGCATGCACCATGGACCAACGGTCTGACTGATCGTCAGACGTCCGTCAGCATTCTGGCTCTAGCATCCTTGCGCTCTTCGCTTGCAGCTAAGAGATGGCGAGCGAGCTGGAGATCGCGAAGCTCTGCAAGGCCCAGCCGCAGATGGATTCGCGCGCCGAGCGGGCCGCGGAGCCGATGACCGAGCCCGCCGAGCCGCGCGGGCCACGAGGCCCCCAGCATTGCACTGGGCTTCGTTTTCGCGCCAGGGCCTGCTGCGCGCCCCCGACAAGTCGCAGCGCCGCACGCGGCTGCTTGCCCGGGCCAGGACTGGCCGCGAGCCCCCGCGGGTGGCCGCGCGCAGCGGTCGCGTTTCCCAGCGCTGCACTGGGCCGCCTGGTCTGGCCAGGACTTGCTGCAACATCCTGGCAAGCACCCCCAGGCTGTCAGGGGCTGCAATTCCCATTGCTGCACGGGGCGGCCAACCTGGGACAGGACTTCTTTCTGGCCCCAGTTCTTTGCCGCGCGGTAGTCGCGCGGTCTTCTCCGAATCTCGCGGGCCGGCGCGGGGTTGACCTTGCGCAGACGCCCGTGTTCGCTGCGCACTATCACCAGACCCCGACTCTGGTCAAAATTTAAAGGCGGATCCAACCAGCGAGAGTTCGCCGAGCCCGGCGCCCAATGCCGCCGACTTGACCAAGAACACGGCGCAGGATTAATTTAATCGCGGTTTTTGAGGTCCACATCTGCGGCCGCGCGTCGCGGGGCGGTTCGATGGGTCACCCGCCCGGGCAAGGACTGGTTGCAGGTTCTTGTTTTCGGCCGCCGCGCCCAGCGCTGCGCCGGGCCGCCCGCCAGTCAACACCTGCCGCGGGCTCTCGCTGGCGACCGCGCGGCGGCCGCAGCTATGGCGGCGTCGCACTGGGCCGCCTGCCCGGGCCGCGGCACGCCGCGGGCACCAGTACACGGCGGCGCGGCCGTCGCGGCCCCCAGCGCTGCACTGGGCCGCCCGCCCGGGCCAGGACGCGCGGCAAGTCCCTGGAAGGCAGCCCCAGCGCTGCACTGGGCCGCCTGCCTGGGCCAGGACCTGCCGCAGGTTCCCGCCAGCGGCCGCGCCGGCGCCCGCGGCTCCCAGCGCCGCGATGGGCCGCCTTCCCAGGCCAGGACTTGCTGCCAGAGGCAGGTCCAGTGCTGCACTGGGCCGCCAGCCCGGGCCAGGACCTGCCGCAGGTGCTCGTTGGCCGCCTCGCGTGGCCATCACGGCCCCCAACGCTGCACTGGGCAGTCTGCTTGAGTCAAGGCACGGAGAGGGGCTGCAGCGACGCGCGGCTGGACTGCGGTCTGCCCCACGGACCAGGCGGATGGCCGTTCTCGAGCCCTGGCCCGCTCGCACTGCGCTGGCGCGCGGCCTTCGGCGCGGCGCGGCCGAAGCAGAGGGCCGCCCACGCAAATGTCCGCGAGCTGCAGGCGGCGCGCGCCGCACCCCGGCGTCGGGCGCACAAGGCGAGCTGCCCCTCCAGCAGGTGGCCCCACCTCGTGGACAGCCAGGTCGTCGCAGCCATCGCGGCGAAGGGCAGGAGCAACAGCCGCCGATTCCAGCCCACGTTGCAGCGTTGCGTTGCGGCCGCGGTCGCGGCGGACATGCACCAAGTCGTCGGCAACGCGGCGTCAGGGGACAACCCGGCGGACGAATCGTCGCGGTGGTTGCGGCGTGGCTCGCGGCTCAGGACCGTCGCGCCGAAGTCGCCCGCGCCGCTGCCGCGGGGACACTTGCCCGCGGGGGCGCCCGCCCACGAAGCTGCCCACCCGCTTCCCTCCGGGCGGGCGCGGCGACGAGGCATCGCTACCTCGCAGCAGTCAGCAGCCTGCTGGAACACCACGGCGCGGTCGAAGCGGGCGTCAAGGCGCTGGGAAAGGAGAGCGAGGACGCCGACGCGCTGATAGCGGGCTACTCGGCATCGCGGCGAACAACACGGCGGCGGGGGCGCGCTTCTTCGGCCCCCGCCACACGCGCAGGCTGCACCTCAGCTGGGCGCCGCTGAAGACGCGGCGGAAGCGCGAGCCCGCGGCGCGGGCGCTGCCCTTCACGCCCGAGACAGCGGGCGCCATGGCCGAGTTCACGGTCGAGGCGGGCTGCATCGACACCGCGCACTTCTTCGCGGTGGCGTTCGCAGGTTTGTTGCGCGGCGGCGAAGCTTTCATCTTGCAGGGCGACGGCGCGGCGTTGCGCGGCCCGTACGCAGTCCTTCGCATCGCCTGGTTTGAGACGACGGCAGGGCGCGATGCGGCGGAGGCATTCGTGATCCGATCGGCCATCAAGATGCTGTTGTTGCGGGAAGCGTTGGTGGGCTTGCCAGAAGGCGAGCGTTTGAGCTCGCGGTCCCCCCACCAGCTGCGGATGGCCCTGCTGGCGCTGGTCGAGGGCCTCGGTTTCCAGGAACTCTTCAGCTGGCACTGGCGCTGGCGCGGCGGCGCCCTTGAGCATCTCTTGAGAACGAAGACCATGGTAGGCACTCTGGCGCTGACGGCGGGCGTCGTCCCAGACGGCCAGAATCTACGTCGAGGCCGCCGCGTCCGACATTGTCCTCGTCCAGCCTGGTGACTTCGAGGCGAGCCGGGTCTAGTACGGGCTCCGAGTCTTGAGGGCTTCCATTCGGTTATGGTTGAACGCATTACTTGTCATTGCCTCTGGTTGCGAGCAAAGATTCCCAGAGGTTCACGACAGTACCTGTTCTTATCAGTGTCAGTGCTGAGATAGACAGCTGAATCGGTTATTTGAAAGAGGGTGCAAGGTGGTACTATCTGGAGCTCCAAAAAGCTTCCCGCTGGCGGGCCACGAGCAAGGAGGAGCTGGAAAAGCTTAGTGTCCCCTCCGGTCTTCGCTCTGGGGCGCGGTGTCTTGGGTCCGCGCCTGGTGGGGGTCTCTCGCGGGGGTGTTGCTCTCGGCAAAGCGCGGCTTGTCCTGTGACCGTTCGCTCGCGGAGGGGCGCAGGTGTTCCCCGAGGATATCACCTGGATGGCGTCAGGCAGAGCGGATCAGAGCGCTTTGGAGTGCCAATGGCAGTAGAGTTCTCTTGACCAATGGCGTGTGTATGCCCGATAGAGATGGGTGTGGCCGTATCCACACAACTGCATGAAGATACCCCGTCGCAGGGGTTTCTTGTGCCGCCTCCTACTAGTAGCTTCTTTGGGCCCCCTCCATCGAAACACCCACTCGTAGGTGGCTAGGTTGCTTCGCTTCTTCTCGCATTGGGTGCCTCAGCCCAGGGCGAAAAGCTTAGTGTCTCCTTTTGCTCTCCTTCGGGGATGCGGTGTCATGGGTCCGTCTGGGGGGGGGGCGCTCTCGCGGCGGCGCTGCTCTCGGCAAGGTGCGGCCGTTGTCCCGTGGCCGTTCGCTCGCTGGGAGGCGCAGCTGCTCCCCCAAGGACTGGCCAGGATGGCGTCAGCCGGAGCGGATCGAAGCGTTTTGGAGTGGCAATGGCAGTAGAGTTAGTTTGACCAATGGCGTGTGGACGTCCGATGAGGAGGTGTTATGTGCACATACAAATATAGTAACTAAACGTATGTGTACATATGTATATGCACACAATGCATACACCTATATATATATATATATGTATACATATATATATTATGTAAATGTATACATACATACATACATACACACATATATACATACATACATACATACATGCATACATAAAAACAGACATACACACATGCATGCATGCATACATGCATACATACACACATACATACATACATACATACATACATGCATACATACATACATGCATACATACATGCATGCGTGTATACATACATACATACATACATACATACATACATACATACATACATACATACTACATACATACATACATACATACATACATGCACGCATGCATGCATGCATACATATTTACGTACGTTCACATGCACATACACCTACACATACACATACGTATACCCATATATATATATATGCAAATACATATACATGTACACATATATATACATATCTGCATACGTATATATATAGATATATACATAAATACATGCATGGATACATACATAGATACAGACCCACATACCTACATACATACATACATACATACATACATACATACATACATACATACATACATACATGCATACGTACGTACATACATATATACATACATACATACATACATGCATGCATTCATGCATACGTGTATGCATACATGCATGCATACATGCATGCATGCATACATGCATGTATATGTACGTTTACAAACGCAACTACAAACACAAACACGTTTTATGTATATAAAAACATTTTTATACATATATATATATGCATACATACACGAGTGTGGACCCGTGAAATAAATCCACGGAGCTGCGTGAGTCGAAGTTTGCCGACGTGCGCTTCTGTCTCTGGTGCTCACATGCCAGTTAGCGGCGGTGTGCGATCGACAACCAATGTGAAATCCACGGTTGTCGCTTGTTCAGGCCATCTTGGGGGTCCTCCTAGGGCTTTTTCCCAACCATCTTGTGGTGTTGGGTCTTCGTTTCGAAGACACGCCGCCCCGCGTTCTCCTCTCCTCCTCTGCCCCCTCCTCGTGCTTCCGTCCGCATGCGTCCCACACACCCAGTAAGCACTTCGTGGCATTCCTCCCCCTCCTCCCTGCGTTTCACCAACCCAGTACAGCGTTTCGTGGCCCCATGGGGAGCACACCCAGTACAGCGCTTCATGGCCCCATAGGGAGCCCCACCGAAGCCCCAGTGCTACCGTCCGCATGCGTCCCGCACACCCAGTACAGCGCTTCGTGGCCCCATAGGGAGCTCCACCGAAGGTCCCAGTGCTACCGTCCGCATGCGTCCCGCGCACCCAGTACAGCGTTTCGTGGCCCTCCTCCCCCTCCTCCCTGCGTTTCACCCACCCAGTACACCGTTTCGTGGCCCCTTAGGGAGCCCCACCGAAGGTCCCAGTGCTACCGTCCGCATGCGTCCCGCACACCCAGTACAGCGCTTCGTGGCTCCATAAGGAGCTCCACCGAAGGCCCCAGTGCCCCCGTCCGAATGCGTCCAGGAAGCCCAAATTTGGCATTTTCACCCACCCAGTGCAGCGTTTCGTGGCCCCATAGGGGGCTACACCCAAGGCCCCAGTGCCACCGTCCGCATGCGTCCGGGATATGTAATTTGGCATTTTCACCCGCGCAGTGCAGCGTTTCGTGGCCCCATAGGGGGCTCCACCGAAGTCCCCAGTGGGACCGTCCGCATGCGTCCCGGAAACCCAATTTGGCATTTTCACTCACTCAGTAGAGCGCTTCGTGGCCCCATAGGGAGCTCCACCGAAGCCCTCAGTGGGACCGTCCGCATGCGTCCCGGAAACCCAATTCGGCACACCACCCACACAGTACAGCGTTCCCCCACGCCCAGTGCAGCGCTTCGTGGCCCCATAGGGAGCTTCACCGAAGCAGATATTCACAATTACGGTACCCACAACTGCATATGGTTGGGACCTTCGCCAGGACGTGTTGGGGCCGATGGGGCCGTCTTGACAGCATCTTCGGCCATTTTGGGGCCCTCGTGGGCAGACTCAGGGCCCTCTTGGCTTGTTTTGGGGGCCTCTTAAGGGTTTGTTGGGCCATCTTGGGGCCACTTGGGGGTTTATTGGGCCGTTTGGGGGACCTCTTGGGCCCTCATTGGGCCCCTCCTGGGCTGTCTTGGGGCTCTCTTGGGCGCCTCTTGGGCCGTCTCGGGGCGATCCTGGAGGGCTCTTGGGCCGTCTTGGGGGTCCAGACGGTCGAGAGCGCGAGAATCTCAGAATCCGTAGGAATCCAATATAGGAAATCTATAATTTCGGCTTCCTGGCGCCCTGTAGGGCGTCCCTTTGGAGCTGTCTCGAAGCGTCTTGGCGGGTCATGGGGCCGTCTTGGGGGCATTTTGGGCCGTCGGAGGGCCGTCTTTGGTCATCTCGGGGCTATTTTTGTTCTCGGGCCTCCATGGGCCGTCTCGGGGCCCTCCGCGAACCCTAAGGGGACCCCCCAGTGCCATTTCGGGTTCCCCGGGGCGCCGGCGGAATTGGGGGTCCCCCTAAACCCGCCAGTCTTCCTACTGATTGATTAGAATATATATATATATATATATATATATATATATATACATACCCATATACTTATACATATACATGTACATATACATATACAAATCCCTGTACACATGAATATGCATGAACCTATGCATGGGTAGACATACACACACATGTACACATCGGTATGTGAATATTTTATATATATACACATATATATATGTATATATACATCATGTGTATGTACATAAATATGTATATATGTGCATATGTGTATATATGTCCCATACACATAAATACAAATATACATACGCCAAAACAGATACAAATCCAAATACGTATACACAAACATACATAGATGCGCACATGAATACGTACACATACACCTTTGCACGTACATATACACTTACGCACCTACGTAGAACCCGACAAAAACATAAACTTATGCACAGACGCACACATCTAGATAGACATACGCATAGTCATATACATAGTCATATACATACGCACATGAATATACAAAGGCGATCACAGTTACATAGACATGTACATAGAAATTGGCATATAGAGAAAGACATCGACATAGTCATCTGCACATGCATGTACACATACATGTACATATGCAAATATGTAGACATATACATGTACAATTACATATGCATGTGCATATGTCTAAAGGTAGACGCGTACATAAACACATACAAACATGCATACAAACCTACATACATACATACGTACTACATACAGATGTACAGACCTGCAGGCCGACATACATGCTCACATGTATACAAGTGTACGCATATACATCGGTACACAGGGTTGCATGTTTGCAAGGCAATGCTACATCGTCATACATTTAGGTTCCTATATACATACCAATTGGAATGCACTACGACCTCATAGAATAGACAATAATATAATATAATGTAATATACGATTGCCTTCGGCCCATGCAGCCACTGTGCTTGGATTGTGGGTATGAAGCCTCTTGGATGTTCAGTGGGACCTCGTCGAGGCCTTTTCGGAGGCCTCTTGGAGGCAGTTTTGATCCTCCAGAAGGTGTTTGGGGTCTTGTTGGGCCTTGTGGGGGCCTCTTGGAGCCTCGTGGGGGCCTCTTGGGGCCTCTTGGGGGCCTCTGGGGGCCTCTTGGGTGCCTCTTGGGGCGGAAGGCTCGGATTGTCAGTTCGTGTAACCATTTTCGGGGCCGTCTTGCGCCTTCTGCGGCCGTTTCCGGCGCCTCTTGGGCCGTATTGCTCTTTGGGATATTTTTGAGTGCTTCTGGGGCGTCTTGGGGCGTCGGAAGCCCGAAAGTGGAGAACCCAAAAACATATAAAATTCTAAAGAACATTTACTGTGTTGACCTCTCGGGGCCTTCCTGCGACGCTTCTTGGAGCTTCATTGGGGCTTCCTGGCCGCCTCTTGGGCCGTCTTGCGGCCATCTTGGGCCGCGTGGGGCGATCGTTCGGCGACTCCGGGCCCTCTTGGGCCATCTTGGGGGCCTTTTGGGGGCCCTCTTGGCCCGTTTTGGGGCCTTTTGGGGCAGAAAGGATCACGCGACAGGACGCGGCTCGCCCCAGGAGGCACGAAGTGGAGCCCAGGGGGCACGCGGCAAGCCCCAGGAGGTT